GGCGCTACCATTCCTCCGCATACTTCGACGTGCTGGAGACTGGGTACGACTTTATCCTTGGAACTCCCTGGTCTCGCCGGTTCCGCAGCACAGAGGCCGAATGGGCGACCGAGACACTCGTTCTCAAAACGAAGTGCGGCCAGACCCTTCGAGTCCCCTTCATTGGAACCACGGGTGACACCCCCCTAGACCTACCTCCCCAGGACCCTCGTCCCTCTGCGTCCCACCCAGACATCAGCTTCACTTCCCCTCGTCAGTTTGCTCACTTCATCCGACAGGAGGACGTCACATTCTACTCAGTGAACGTCATGGATCTTCTTCGCTATGATCCACTCTGTCCCGAGGTTGAGCTCATCTCACTGGAGCCCGATCCCCCTGACCCTTCCTCCATCTTCGCGGCTCCCATCTCCACATCCACCCGTCAGCCTGCGGATACCCCCTCCACGTCCCAGGCCCCTGCGCCGCCGACCGTCGAGTCCACATATACGTCTCGTGCCGACGCAGACGCCGAGGAACTCACATGGTTCACAGCAGACTTAAAGCCCGCCGTTCGCAACCTGATTCGAGAGTACCGCGACGTCTTTCCCCCGTACTTCTCATACAGCGGGATTCCCCCGATGCGCGGTGATGAGCATTCTATACAGCTCGTGCCTGACTATCGTGTTCACCATCAGGCACCGTACCGACTCTCGATTCCAGAGGCGACGGAACTCAAGCGTCAGCTTGAGGAGCTCCTTCGACTGGGTTTCATTAAACCTAGTAACTCCCCTTGGGGTGCACCTGTCCTCTTTGCTCGCAAAGCAGACGGAACTCTTCGCCTCTACATCGACTACCGCGGCCTTAACCGTTACACGGTTAAGAACAGTTATCCCATGCCCCGCACGGATGAGCTGTTTGACCGTCTGGCAGGCAACCGCTTCTTCACGAAGATCGATCTTCGTAGCGGTTACCACCAGATCCGCGTTGCCACAGAGGATCAGCTGAAGACCGCCTTTCGGTCGCGCTTCGGCCACTACGAGTTCACGGTGATGCCATTCGGCCTCACCAATGCCCCCGCCACCTTCCAGACGGCAATGAACGACATCTTCAGGGACATCCTTGAAGAATACGTTCTCGTATACCTGGATGACATCTTGGTGTACAGTCGTACCTTAGAAGACCATCTCAAACACCTCCGCGATGTCCTACAACACTTACGCAAGCATGGCTTCTATGCCAAGCTCAGTAAGTGCCGCTTTGCCCAGCGCAAAGTGGACTTCCTAGGACACCATGTGTCTGACCAGGGTCTCCACATGGACGACGCGAAGATCACTGCTATTGCAGAGTGGCCCGTCCCCACATCTGCCAAGCAGCTTCGCAGTTTCCTAGGCCTCACCAGCTACTATAGTAAATTTATCCAGGGATACGCTAGGTATTCCTACGTCCTTACCTCTACCCTCCTCCGGAAGATCCCGCCGTGGTTTTGGACACCCCTGTCCGAGGACACCTTTCGCGCCCTCAAGAAGGCGGTGACCTGTGCGCCGGTTCTTCGCCTTCCCGATTTTGATCGTCCCTTTATCGTCACCACCGATGCGTCAGAT